TTTGTTCTTCTTTCACCCAGGACAGTCGAGTGTAGATCTGGTGAATGTTCACGGCAGATTTTTTGGACCACACAGAGGTGGGCACCGTGGCGGTTCTTTTGTAATGCTCTGCAAGTTTACTTCGACAAATTTGCACATCAAAAGGAAGTACTCCTGTTTGGAGAAAACAAATAGAATCGTCGACATTTTCATTTAAACATTCAGTTTCAGAATTATTAGCTGGCAGTAGTTGGCAGCTGAGTTTACTGAATGAGTCGTTCTCAAACTTAATGTTTGCAACTAATAGCTATAAAAATCCATACAACGATCAGTTTAAGTATTAAAGTTCATCGAACTGGTAGTAACATGTGAATTTACAGTACTCATTCTAAATTACGGCATTCACATGTTTAGATGATGGTGTTGGTAATAATCTTCAGGTTGCTGAGAAAGTATCGTTTTTTGGAGAAATATCGAGCTTCACTGAATCACTCCCTAAAGTTTGCGTTTCTTTTTTTTCCCTCCCTTTTAACTTCTTTCTCTTTAGTTGCACTGGTAAAAGTTCACAGAATCAAATCAGTCTCGTCCTTAGAGTCATCACGCCCTTGACCAGCAATCGTTCTGCAGCATAAAGGCGACAGAGGCTCCAGGAAAGACACTACAAGCAAACGTTGATGCCATCTATTAATGGTGGTGGAAGTTACCGTTTGAAATTCGCCTGACAACCATGATCACATATTTCTCTTATGGCTCAAATGCAAATTACAACTAAACTCTACACAATGGTTAAAAGACATCTCTCAATCCACAAGATATCCTACCAAAAGTTAAAAGAACGCAGCCTGTGGTGAACACTTATCTTTTGAATTGGCCAAAACATGTTTTCTTCTAAGTTCTAACCGAGAACAAAATGTCAAAAAAAAAGTTATCTGTTTTATTTATAGAGCGTGTAAGACCCCTTACCGATGGTTGAAAGAATCAATGATGTTTATTTTTGTTTTATTCTGATGTTGACCCTTTCCCGAAACCACCGAATGAAAACCCTGATGCTCTGCAAATCTCCATAGCAGTAAACTTAAAGAGAATCTCCGTGTATGAATTTGAAGCCTGAACACTCCCCTCACCACCCCCCTCCCCTTAGAGGGGGGTGGTGAGGGGAGTGTGAGGGGGTTTTCATTCAGTGGTTTCGGGAAAGGGTCAACATCAGAATAAAACAAAAATAAACATCATTGATTCTTTAGCCCCGTACCTAAAGGCCAACATAGAGTTTAAGTGCGCTTGCCAAGTACCGGATTTGATGGCCAATTTTTTTCTAAAAGGAAAATCAGCGACCGTGACTATCTACACATTCGACCGAGCTTGAAGACATAAATTTTGTAGACTCCTTCTTCTTAGCCATTTGCTTGCAATAGTAAGCTCTTTACCCTTTAAACACCTGCATACCTAAGTATCTAACACTTGAATTCTGCTGGAGAGATGAGACACTTCCAATTCAGACTATTCACCTCGGCCAGGCAAGTTCTAAATTCCCCATGCCCGTGCAC